CCCTAAACCCTAAACCCTAAAAACTAAACCCTAAACCCTAAACCCTAAACCCTAAACCCTAAACCCTAAACCCTAAACCCTAAACCCTAAACCCTAAACCCTAAACCCTAAACCCTAAACCCTAAACCCTCCCTAAGCCCCTAAGTACCAGCAGTTGCCCATGAACTTTCAGAGCATGAAGCCGAAACTAGGTGTCCCAGGGCTGGGTTCGTAAACCCTAAACACTAAACCCGAAACCCTCCGTAGCCATTTTGGCTCAAGCGGTATGCACTTTTGAAGATCGCTTACAATTATCTTCTCATATTGAAGACTTTTGAGATCGGTATAAAGAATTAAGGCTAATCACATCCCATCATTCTCTCTCTCTCTCTAGGGTGAGTGACTCACTATCCTCGTTTTAATATTAAAGAAATCCCTTTTCTTCCCTTTACTGATTATCATAAGAACCCCAAATTCGAAAGCCTCGCGATGGCTAGCCGTGACAAGCCCGAAGAGACAGTGACGGAGCTGTCGTATGACGACCTGCTCGCAGACTTCCCGTTCCGGGTGATTGGCTCAGGTGATGATCTCCAACCCACCATCAGCACACAGGATCTGACGCCTTCCTCCAATATCAAGGCGCAAATCATCACGAACCCGACGACTTCTTACTTTCGATTTGCAAAGTTTGGGGGTGTGCGAGTCACCAGACCGTTATTTGACACTGCCATGTCAAAGCTCGGCTTGACACTCAAAGACACGAGCGGACAGATTCCCAGCTTGGCATGTACGGGCCTCGCAACTCCAGCAAAGGCCACGGTGTCACAGCTCATGACTTTTACCCGCCGGACAGCCTACATTCTCCCGTGGAACGAGATTGTGGAGAGGGGCAAGAAGAACCAAGAGTTTTCAATGGCGTATCCGAAGGTGGAGGACCTCAGCAATACTTGCGATACTTGGGGGCATTCGGCCTCACACCAGAGACAATCTCAACCCCTCCATGCGCCATCCTGTCATGCGGGGCAAAGGCGTTCCTGTTCAAGAATGTGGTATGGCAAGCTATGGGCAGGCGTAGAGGGATGAAGATGCCTTACTGGATCGAAGTTACTAGTAAACGTTTCTTCCAGGCACTCTGGGACCACAACCCTGGACGCGGAATCCTCGGCCCTAGCCAGGTTTACGCTAGTATAAACAGGGCAATGAAGAGACCCGCAGAGCAGGCGCCAACGCGCGCAAGCATACCGCGCGCACGGCTCTAGCAAAAAAAAAACCCGAAACCCTAAACCCTAAACCCTAAACCCTGAACCCTGAACCCTGAACCCTGAAACCTACACCCCAAGGAACGCCCTACACTTGCCAGGACCGGAAGCAGCATCCCGCCACTTGGGTCCGTATGGTCATGCGCAATCTTGCCCGAAAGCCCCCCAGATGCCTAAAGCCTAAACCCTAAACCCTAAACCCTAACCCCTAAACCTAAACCCTAAACCCCGAAGTCCTCAACTCCCTAAGCCACCGGTTAAAGAGCCACGGAGGACTCTTAACTTCAGGGCCCAAGGCTATCTTCCTCCAAGGACAAGTACCTCGGGGAGGATTCCCTCTTCGAAGAGTTTTTCCTGCTTTCCAAAGGCCGCTGTGCTTTGCTCTAGGGTTCAGGGTTTAGGATTCATGGTTCAGGGTTTAGGGTTTAGGGTTAGGGGTCAGGGCGAAGAAGGCTTGGCGGTTGTGTCGCAGGCGAAGCAGATGACGAGATGCTGCAAGGCCACCGCGTGTTGATGAATCTCACCAGTATAACAGGCAACCCTTAACCCTCAACCCTTAAACCCCGAAACCCTAAACCCTGAACCCTAAACCCTAAACCCTAAACCCTAAACCTTATACCCTAAACCCTAGACCCTAATCCCTAAACCCTAAACCCTAAACCCTAAACCCTAAACCCTAAACCCTAAACCCCGGACATGACCTGCAGGGCTGCAGCAGTTCATGCTCACCCTGCAGCTGGCGGCGAACGGAAACCAATTGGCTCGCCGACTCAGCCTCCGTCACACTTTCACCGGGATAGGGTTTAGGGTTTGGGGTTTGGGGTTTGGGGTTTAGGGTTTAGGGTTTAGGACTTGGAGGTTCATGGTACTCATCAACCCAATACTAATGGTACTTATAACCCACTTATAAGCTCTTTAAGTGCCCTAATATGGTTCGAATTGGCTTATAAGTAGAGTGAGTATTGGGTTAATAAGTACCCTGAGCCTCCAAGTAGGCCCTTGGGATATGTCACATTTTCCCTTAGTGGGTTTAAGGGGATCATGTTCAGGAATATTCTTCAGAGGGTGTGACGGGCCATCCTAGTGTAGCTAGCGTATACCCCGCAGAATCCCGTGCTTCCTGACATGCCAGTGCGATGTCTCATTTTCAGAGCCTGGGCTTGGAAAAATAGCAAAGTCAGGAAGCAGCTCATGGGCAGGAGGGCATGCTTTTCACGCCCCCCTTTGCTCGAAGGTCACGATCCGGTGGCTTATGTCGCACGTCTACGGCGATCCAGCCATTCTTGCTGGGATCCGTGAAGAGGTGGATGCCCTGCTGCTCAAGAAGGCGCAGAGCAGCATGCCGGAAAGCGCACGGATGCTGCGCGCACCCTGCCGTCCCTGAAACCCTAAACCCTAAAACCTAAACCCTAAACCCTAAACCCTAAACCCTAAACCCTGAACCCTGAACCCTGAACCCTGAACCCTGAGCCCTTACTCCTCTTTTCCATGAGGGGTGCGGCATCCGTGATCTCAAGCTCGACGACCTCCTGGATCTGAGACTGTTGGGAACCGAGGTTGACTTGCGGCGACAGGCAGTAGAGGTTTAGGGTTTAGGGTTTAGGGTTTAGGGTTTAGGGTGAGTATCAAATACAGATTGTGCCAGCGTAGACCCCAAACAGTAACAGACCACCTGGGGACACGAAGCGCTTCATACGTCGCGAGAGAGCGTCTTTGATGCCACTGAGCTCCGGACGTCCTCGACGTACTCCGTTTGTACTACAAAAATTGAGACGACGCTTTCGCCTTTGGCGAACCCCGACGTCCAAAAGCAACGACAGTTTCGCTTTAGACGAAGCCCGACGCCCAAAAGCGACAACAGTTACGAGGAGTGCACCATCGCGACTTGCAAGGCCGCTTAGTTTGAGCGCGCCAGGTTCTCGGGACGCTTCAGCATGCAAGCCACGAAAAGCGCATGGGCTGAGAGCACGATTCCCCACCCATAAGCGACATGCGCACGAGGCCTAGAGCGCGACTCGACATCCACGAAGCCAAAAGCACAAGAACCTGATGGTGTTGGCACACTGTTTAGGGAACACTCTCTCACAACCTATGTAAGCCCGTACGTGAGGGTCCAAGTACGGGGCCAGTCGCACTCTGCAAGGGGCCAAACCCCCCAATATTGACTGGTATTCACCTTATCATAGATATGTTGCAGCACGCTCTAGTATCTTCTACCATAATGGAATATGGTGTAGTTTTCCTCGCATGTTTGGCACATTAGGGTGCATGACTATACTGCACTGTTTGTTGTTTTTGTTACGTATTATGTCGCGATCATTATATACTGGGGCATGGTGAGGTTTCAGATGTGAGGGTGAGGAACGTGTAACCTCGGGGGGCCTTCACTGACTTGTTGTAATGTAGTGCTCCGCTGCGCGATGGATTGATGTTTGGTATGCCGTAGTTTGTTGTACTTTATTCGAGTAGATACTAGTGTATTCAAGCATGATGTGGTACATTGCAGTATATTTCAGTCTGTTCTCGCATATCATCGCAGGTTATGTATCAAACCAGCCACAGATCGCTCTGGCGACTGAGGACGAACGCCTGCATCACGGAGGCCGTGCGGCTGCACAGCTCGCTGCCCAGCTGTGGGGTTTAGGGTTTAGGGTTTAGGGTTTAGGGTTTAGGGTTTAGGGTTTAGGGGTGGTGCCTTCTGTGAAGTGTCGCCGTTAAGATCCTCTCGAACGCACTCTGGTTGTTTGCTACAGCCTCCCCTTTCAATGTACGATGATTACTGCACTATGAACGGAGAAGAATCGCCATTAAGATCCTCTAATGAACTCTGGTTACTTGCTACAGCTTCCACAGTCGTCTATCACACGATACTATGTGTAGGGTCAAGGGTTTAGGGTTTCAGGTGACATTCCCGCGAAGCTCACGCTGCGAACTGTCCCTCGGCTCGGGTGGTGGGTGCACTCTGGGGCTCCTAAGGTGCAGGTGGGTGGCATTTCGGGGAGGTCGGTCTGAAGGGCCTTCTTTGGGGTTCTCTCTCCAGCATAGCACGTTCCTTCCCAGCAAGGGCCTAGCATTTTGGTAGCACTCTACATTCAGGGCTCTTTTTGGGTCCCTTCTCTGAGGCGTCACCCTTGTACCAAGGACCCCAAAAACGGACGCTTGTACCAAGGCCCCCAAAGGGACCGAACTATCATGTAGACTAGCCTGCTTTGCGGTTGCACGGTTTGGCTTCAGGGAGGGCGGGGGTCAGATGTCGGGATCTACTGAGGATGCCTACGCCCTCAGAGTCTTACCCCTGGTGTTCAGCACCCCTTGGGGTTAGCTAAACCCTAAACCCTAAACCCTAAACCCTAAACCCTGAACCCTAAACCCTAAACCCTAAACCCTGAACCCTAAACCCTAAACCCAAACCCTAAACCCTAAACCCTAAACCCTAAACCCCAAACCCTAAACCCTAAACCCTAAACCCTAAACCCTAAACCCTAAACCCTAAACCCTAAACCCTAAATCCTGCAAAAGGCCCGGGTTGAGGGTTGAGAGGGTTGGAAGCTCTTCGCGAAACTGAAATCCCTGAGCCCCGAACCCCAACGCACCAAACCTTGCCCCCTTAAGTTCCGAGTCAGCTCGCCATGAAGGTCTAAAGGCCTAAACCCTAAACCCTAAACCCTAGTCCCTAAACCCTAAACCCTAGACTCTAGTCCGATGGGCTTCCCATGCGCAGGCCGAGATCCCCATGGAGTTCGGCGGGTTCAAGATCCCCCAGGGAGTGGGGGCCCCCAGCTCCCACTCAGAGGCTCAGGAAGAGTTGGGCTACATGATGGTCCCCTTTTCAGGGTTGAGGGTTTAGGGTTTAGGGTTTAGGCTCGCTGCTTAGGAACTTAGAGTTACGATGTTGCGAAATGTCATTTTGTCGTTGATAGTAAGGTTCCCTGAGTATGGCGACGGCAGCCCGGTTTTGGGTACCCTGAGGCTCTGTACTGCATTGCAGGGGCAGGGCTCCGGCCTTAACGGGAGAGCCCCAATTCAGCTCTCAGCATAGGCACGTGCACGAACCTGTCACGACGGCTCCATCCATCTCTCACACCTTCCCCAACACCCAGAGACTCAACCCTTCAAACCCTCAAACCCTTAAACCCTAAACCCTAAATCCTAAACCCTAAACCGTAAACCGTAAACCCTAAACCCTAAACCCTAAGCCCTCAACCCTCAACCCTCAACCCTGAACCCCAACCCTCAAACCCTAAACCCTAAACCACACATCCCCAAACTCTGCATCGCGTGGAGGCGACAATCTTCCTGTACGCCGATGCGGTGCATAAGGAGACTCCGCACAAGCTTTGGAGGGGCTCCGAGTCGTCAGGCAGTTTGTTTAGGGTTTAGGGTTTAGGGTTTAGGGTTTAGGGTTTAGGGTTTAGGGTTTAGGGTTTAGGGTTTAGGGTTTAGGGTTTAGGGTTTAGGGTTTAGGGTTTAGGGTTTAGGTGTTAGGGTTTAGGTTTTAGGGTTTAGGGTTTAGGGTTTAGGGTTTAGGGTTTAGGGTTTAGGGTTTAGGGTTTAGGGTTTAGGGTTTAGGGTTTAGGGTTTAGGGTTTAGGGTTTAGGGTTTAGGGTTTAGGGTTTAGGGTTTAGGGTCAGGGTTTAGGGTTTAGGGTTTAGGGTTTAGGGTTTAGGATTTAGGGTTTAGGGTTTAGGGTCTTCAAAGAAGCTGTTGGGCAAAGCTGATCATCCTTAAGCCCCCCAGGGTTAGGCCTTCGAAGCCCCGAAACCCCAAACCCCCAAACCCTAAACCCCCTTCACTTGAAACCTCAACACCTCAAGGCCGAAACAGGAACCCAAACCAAACAGCCCGCCTTGTCGGGGCGCTCAGGCCCAGCAAAAAACCAGCTAATGCTGCTGATGCTCGCTTTGTGCGGCTCAGGCGCAGCCAAGGGGCCCAACTGATGCTGATGATGCTCGCCTTGCGGGGCCGCTCAGGCCCAGCAAGGGGCCAGCTGATGCTGCTGATGCCCGCTTTGTGCGGCTCAGGCGCAGCAAGGGGCCCAACTGATGCTGATGATGCTCGCCTTGCGGGGCCGCTCAGGCCCAGCAAGGGGCCAGCTGATGCTGCTGATGCCCGTTTTGTGCGGCTCAGGCGCAGCAAGGGGCCCAACTGATGCTGATGATGCTCGCCTTGCGGGGCCGCTCAGGCCCAGCAAGGGGCCAGCTGATGCTGCTGATGCCCGTTTTGTGCGGCTCAGGCGCAGCAAGGGGCCCAACTGATGCTGATGATGCTCGCCTTGCGGGGCCGCTCAGGCCCAGCAAGGGGCCAGCTGATGCTGCTGATGCCCGTTTTGTGCGGCTTGGCGCAGCAAGGGGCCCAACTGGATGCTGATGAATGGGGGCGTCCGGCCAGCAAGGGGAAGCGGATGCGCTGATGCCCGCTTTGTGTGGCTCAGGGGCAGCAAGGGGCCCAACTGATGATGATGTGCTCGCTTGTTGGCGTAGGGTCAGCAAGGGGCCAGCTGATGCTGCTGATGCCCGTTTTGTGCGGCTCAGGCGCAGCAAGGGGCCCAACTGATGCTGATGATGCTCGCTTTGCAAGGCCGCTCAGGCCCAGCAAGGGGCCAGCTGATGCTGCTGATGCCCGTTTTGTGCGGCTCAGGCGCAGCAAGGGGCCCAACTGATGCTGATGATGCTCGCCGTGCGGGGCCGCTCAGGCCAAGCAAGGGGCCAGCTGATGCTGCTGATGCCCGTTTTGTGCGGCTCAGGCGCAGCAACGGGCCCAACTGATGCTGATGATGCTCGCCTTGCGGGGCCGCTCAGGCCCAGCAAGGGGCCAGCTGATGCTGCTGATGCCCGTTTTGTGCGGCTCAGGCGCAGCAAGGGGCCCAACTGATGCTGATGATGCTCGCCTTGCGGGGCCGCTCAGGCCCAGCAAGGGGCCAGCTGATGCTGCTGATGCCCGTTTTGTGCGGCTCAGGCGCAGCAAGGGGCCCAACTGATGCTGATGATGCTCGCTTTGCAAGGCCGCTCAGGCCCAGCAAGGGGCCAGCTGATGCTACTCATGCCCGCTTTGTGCGGCTCAGGCGCAGCAAGGGGCCCAACTGATGCTGACGATGCTCGCCTTGCGGGGCAGCTTAGGCCCAGCAAGGGGCCAGCTGATGCTGCTGATGCCCGTTTTGTGCGGCTCAGGCGCAGCAAGGGGCCCAACTGATGCTGATGATGCTCGCCTTGCGGGGCCGCTCAGGCCCAGCAAGGGGCCAGCTGATGCTGCTGATGCCCGCTTTGTGCGGCTCAGGCGTCGCCTTGCGGGGCCGCTCAGGCCCAGCAAGGGGCCAGCTGATGCTGCTGATGTCCGCTTTGTGCGGCTCAGGCGCAGCAAGGGGCCAAACTGATGCTGATAATGCTCGCCTTGCGGGGCCGCTCAGGCCCAGCAAGGGGCCAGCTGATGCTGCTGATGCCCGTTTTGTGCGGCTCAGGCGCAGCAAGGGGCCCAACTGATGCTGATGATGCTCGCCTTGCGGGGCCGCTCAGGCCCAGCAAGGGGCCAGCTGATGCTGCTGATGCCCGTTTTGTGTGGCTCAGGCGCAGCAAGGGGCCCAACTGATGCTGATGATGCTCGCCTTGCGGGGCCGCTCAGGCCCAGCAAGGGGCCAGCTGATGCTGCTGATGCCCGTTTTGTGCGGCTCAGGCGCAGCAAGGGGCCCAACTGATGCTGATGATGCTCGCCTTGCGGGGCCACTCAGGCCCAGCAAGGGGCCAGCTGATGCTGCTGATGCCCGTTTTGTGCGGCTCAGGCGCAGCAAGGGGCCCAACTGATGCTGATGATGCTCGCCTTGCGGGGCCGCTCAGGCCCAGCAAGGGGCCAGCTGATGCTGCTGATGCCCGTTTTGTGCGGCTTAGGCGCAGCAAGGGGCCCAACTGATGCTGATGATGATCGCCTTGCGGGGCCGCTCAGGCCCAGCAAGGGGCCAGCTGATGCTGCTGATGCCCGCTTTGTGTGGCTCAGGCGCAGCAAGGGGCCCAACTGATGCTGATGATGCTCGCCTTGCGGGCCGCTCAGGGGCAAGGGGCCAGCTGATGCTGCTGATGCGGCTCAGGCGCAGCAAGGGGCCAAACTGATGCTGATGATGCTCGCCTTGCGGGGCCGCTCAGGCCCAGCAAGGGGCCAGCTGATGCTGCTGATGCCCGCTTTGTGCGGCTCAGGCGCAGCAAGGGGCCCAACTGATGCTGATGATGCTCGCCTTGCGGGGCCGCTCAGGCCCAGCAAGGGGCCAGCTGATGCTGCTGATGCCCGTTTTGTGCGGCTCAGGCGCAGCAAGGGGCCCAACTGATGCTGATGATGCTCGCCTTGCGGGGCCGCTCAGGCCCAGCAAGGGGCCAGCTGATGCTGCTGATGCCCGTTTTGTGCGGCTCAGGCGCAGCAAGGGGCCCAACTGATGCTGATGATGCTCGCTTTGCAAGGCCGCTCAGGCCCAGCAAGGGGCCAGCTGATGCTGCTGATGCCCGTTTTGTGCGGCTCAGGCGCAGCAAGGGGCCCAACTGATGCTGATGATGCTCGCCGTGCGGGGCCGCTCAGGCCAAGCAAGGGGCCAGCTGATGCTGCTGATGCCCGTTTTGTGCGGCTCAGGCGCAGCAACGGGCCCAACTGATGCTGATGATGCTCGCCTTGCGGGGCCGCTCAGGCCCAGCAAGGGGCCAGCTGATGCTGCTGATGCCCGTTTTGTGCGGCTCAGGCGCAGCAAGGGGCCCAACTGATGCTGATGATGCTCGCCTTGCGGGGCCGCTCAGGCCCAGCAAGGGGCCAGCTGATGCTGCTGATGCCCGTTTTGTGCGGCTCAGGCGCAGCAAGGGGCCCAACTGATGCTGATGATGCTCGCCTTGCGGGGCCGCTCAGGCCCAGCAAGGGGCCAGCTGATGCTGCTGATGCCTTGTGCGGCTCAGGCGCAGCAAGGGGGCCAGCTGATGCTGCTGATGCCCGCTTTGTGCGGCTCAGGCGCAGCAAGGACCCAACTGATGCTGATGATGCTCTCAATCCCAAACCCTAAACCCCAAACCCTAAACCCTAAACCCCAAACCCTTACTAAAACCCCTAAACCCTAAACCCTTAACCCTAAACCCTAAACCCCAAGCCCTACACCTGCAGGACGAGAAGTACTTCCCGGATGCGGCTGCCTTTTGCCCGCACCGCTACACCAACCCCGAGGCTGTGGCGGGTTTAGGGTTTAGGGTTTAGGGTTTAGGGTTTAGGGTTGAGGGTTGAGGGTTGAGGGTTTAGGGTTTGGGGTTTAGGGTTTAGGGTTTAGGGTTTAGGGTTGAGGGTTGAGGGTTGAGGGTTGAGGGTTGAGGGTTGAGGGTTGAGGGTTTAGGGGTTTTAGTATGTGCTGTTTTGGGTTTAGGATCTGATCTAGGCATTTCTCAAAATAGGGGAACCCCTTTTATACTCCAAATAGAATAGAATCCCCCACAGGGGTACCCCTTTTTTCGGAAGCCCCCATATAGGATGAGGGGTTTAGGGTTGTGGGGTGTTCCAGAGGGCTGGGCGACTGCGTATGGTCGGTACGAGATATGCTTCGGGGTTGCGATATGTTTAGGTCTAAGAGCGCATTTTTTCCTCTCCTCTCCACGTGTTGGAGACTGTCCGGGCTTTTGAAGGTCTGTAGAGGGCTTGCAGCGGCGTTTTCGGAGAGTTGCCTTGGCCCTAAACCCTACACCCTAAACCCCAAACCCTAAACCCTAAACCCTAAAACCCTAAACCCTGAACTCCACACCTGCTGCGCAGACCTTCAACCAGATGAACAAGGAAAGGGAGATCGTGACCTTCGGCCACGGCCGGAAGCGCTGTACCGGTGAACTGCCGCTCGGCGGCGTTTGCGAGAGGTTCAAGGGTGCATCCTTCCTCCAGAACGAAGTTACACGAAACCTTAAAGCCTAACGCCTAAACCCTAAACCCGAAACCCTGAACCCTAAACCCTGGACCCTAAAGTCTATACCCTAAACCTTGTGGCTAGGGTTTAGGGCTTACGGTTTGGGGTTTAGGGGTTAGGGCGGGGGGTTTAGGGTTTAGGGTTTCGGGTAACAGTTGCTACTTCTTCTACATAGGTTCCTTCGTAGCGAGCTTCAGATCCCTGAGCTCGTGACTGGGTCCTCAAAGAACTTAAAAGCAAGTTGCCGCAAGAAGGGTTTTTGTGTTTTTGTTTTTTACAAAGCAACCTTTTCTGGTAACTTAAATTCAGGGCTTAGGGCTTTGGATTTACGGTTTAGGGTTTAAGTTTCTAAGCGTTGACCAAGACCCCCAGTCAAGTCGTCAGTTCTTTTGGTGGGTTTCCCAGAGAAAGCTACCCGCTTTCCGATAGCAAGGATTCTCAATATTTCGACAGTACAACAGAACGGCCTTATTCGCATAGAAGTCTATGTGGCCAGTTCACTTCTCTTAATCGTCTTAGTCGTTCCTTGTTTAAGCTTGCCCAGACCACAACGTTAACCCTGCCCGCACGGTGTTGTGAACCCTCCTTACCTCAAAATGTCTTAGTGCTTTTATCCATTCAGAAGATGCCATATATGCATGTCCAAAACTAGGGGTACCCCTTTTCTACCCCGAATAGAAGAGAAGCCCCTAAAAGGGACCCCCAAACGGGGTACCCCGATTTTCGGAGAACCCCCATTTCGGGAACCAAATTCCTTGATTCGGCTAGCAAGCTTCAGGCATGCCCGGTCACAGATCTCGGCCCTGCTGGCCTCCTTTGTTATGAGAGCCCCTGCTGCAACCCGGGGGTCGGACGCTTAAACCCTAAAACCCTAAAATCCAAAACCCAAAACCCAAAACCCTAAACCCTCAACCCTAAAGCCCTAAACCCCAAATCCTAAAGCCCAAGGGCCGAAGACCAGCGTTTAGGGTCTTGGGTGTGAACCTGGAGCCATCTTTTGCAGACAGGATCTGAGCTCGCTGGCTGAGCGACACCCGACGCACATCTGAAAGGCCGAAGGTGCCAGTTTCAGAGGCAACCGGTATGCTCTCACCATGTGCCCAACCCTTCACACGACTTCCATTCAGACGCACCCAAAGCCCGCAGCATGAGCATCAGACGGGCCGCGTCGCGCCTTCCCCAAAGACGCCCCCTCTAAGGAGCACACCCTGCGAGCAGGGTTGTCATCCGTGCACCATGGGGTTCGGAGGTAGGAGATTTCGGGCTCAGGCACTATTTAGGTAGTAGTTTCCCATCCCCTAAACCCTAAACCCTAATCCCCAAGCCCAAAGCCCCAGAACCCGCCCTCACCCTGGATTCCGGTTGATTTAAATCATGACGCCACTTCCAGGAATGGAGCATGGCAGGGGCCCAAAGACAGGACTTGTAATGTGACTTTTTAAGGGTTTAGGGTTAAGGGATGTTAAGGGTTTTTAGGCTTTAGTAGGGTTTTAGGGTACCATCTCCTGATCTGAGGATTCGACATGGACCTTGCGACGGATGAGTCGGACAACAGGATGCCGGAGGACCTTTCTGGTTTTGACTTCTCAAGTTTTGTGGCTTGCTTTCATATCAGGGTCCCATTGGGCTCTTTACCAAAGGCAGTGGGATCCCAAAGGGGGGTAACAGCCCCCAAGTGGTTCAGGGCTTCAGGGTTTAGAGCTCGTTGTATCTCGGGGTGTGGGGAATCAGCCTCAACCAATACACGGTGTTCTGGAAAACTCCTTGAGGGGTTTCAGGGGTTTAGCGTTGGACGAACAGTCCTTTATAGGGATGATAGCACCCCCCCCCCCATGATCCCAAGGACTCTGGGTGTAAGGGGGAACATCCCTAGGTTAAGGGGGATTTTAAGGCCGTGACATCCTTCAAATCCTAAACCCTAAACCCTAAACCCTCAACCCTCAACCCTCAACCCTAAACCCTAAACCCTAAACCCTAAACTCACGAGGACCACGACGGCCCCTTCGTTTTTGACACCGCCAACACGCTGAAGTTGGTGAACCTGCGAGCCCGGGCAGGCCAATGTTGGGCCGGTTTAGGCTTGGGGTCCATCATTGTAAGCCATTATTGTGATTATGATTTTGATTGTGATTCTGATTCTGATTATGATTATGATTATGATTCTTCTTCTTCTTATTATTATTCATATTCTTAATATAATTAGTACTATTAGTATTATTAATATTATTCATAATAATACTAATAAATATTAATAATATTAATATGGTCATTATTCTTCTTATCATTATTATTATTAATATCATTCTTATTAATCTTATTAATATTATTATTCTTACTATTGTCATTATTCTCAAAAACAAACCCTAAACCCTAAACCCTAAACCCTAAACCCTAAACTTAGAGTTTAGGGTTTAGGGGGGTTTAGGGTTTAGGGTTTAGGGTTTAGGGTTTAGGGTTTAGGGTTCTATTTTCGTCATTTTTCTGTTATTATTATTATTATTTCTTTTATTACTACCATTATTATTCCTATTATTAGTACCATTATTATTATTATTATTTTTATTTTATTAGTTTTTATGACTACATTATTATATTTTTTTTCCTTCTGGTTAGTGGGGGGTTCCTTGGAATCCTTTTTGAGATGTCGGCTCTTGGTGTTGGAGCTCGTTTGGCAGCTTTGGCCTCAGAAGTGGGACCCCAAAAAGCCGAGGGCTTAGGGTTTAGGGTTTAGGGTTTGCTGCGAGGAAAAAAATCACAAGCCCAACGTTCGCAAGGAGCCTGAAGCCCCGAACAGCATCTTACTCTTAACCCGAAACCCACAACTCTCAACCGCAAACCCTAAACCCTCAACCCTAAATTCCCTCAATCCTAAACCCTCAACCCTAAGCCCTAAACCCTAAAGAAACCCGGAAGCCCCCCGCAGGGGACGCCGGCCAGAAGACAGCAGCAGCCTCTGTGGTCGCTGCTGCACTTCCAGGCCGGAGAACCCGGGGGATAGAGACGGCGTTCTCTGTTCTCTTGGGGGGGGTTTAAGGCTCTAATTAAAGGTTAAGGTCTTAGGGTTTGGGTTTAGGTTTATGGTTGAGGATTTTCAGGGGGGGCTAGGGTTGTGGGGCTTCGGGGCTTGGGTAACTTGGGTTTGCTTGCGATTCTGGGTGTTGAATTCTTTGGGGCCGCGAGGTAGACCCGATGCGCGGGCTCAAGGCCGACCCAGCTGATCGTCATGATGCGCGGGCTGTGGGCTCATGCTGGCTTCGTTCCTGAGCCCAAAGCCCGTGCATTGCGTTCCTGAACCCCTAAAGCCCGCGCATCATGAGCATCAGCTGGGTCGGCCCCCGCGCCCCCCCACCCCCCCCGCACAAAGCGAGCATCATCAGCATCAGTTGGCCACTTGCTGGGCTTGATTGGCCGACGAGCATCATCAGCATCAGCTGGGCCCCTTGCTGGGCCTGAGCGGCACGACAAGGCGAGCATCATCAGCATCAGCTGGGCCCCTTGCTGGGCCTGAGCGGCGCGACAAGGCGAGCATCATCAGCATCAGCTGGGCCCCTTGCTGGGCCTGAGCGGCGCGACAAGGCGAGCATCATCAGCATCAGCTGGGCCCCTTGCTGGGCCTGAGCGGCACGACAAGGCGTCAGCTGGGCCCCTTGCTGGGCCTGAGCGGCACGACAAGGCGAGCATCATCAGCATCAGCTGGGCCCCTTGCTGGACCTGAGCACAACAAGGCGAGCATCATCAGCATCAGCTGGGCCCCTTGCTGGGCCTGAGCGACACGACAAGGCGAGCATCATCAGCATCAGCTGGGCCCCTTGCTGGGCCTGAGCACGACAAGGCGAGCATCATCAGCATCAGCTGGGCCCCTTGCTGGGCCTGAGCACGACAAGGCGAGCATCATCAGCATCAGCTGGGCCCCTTGCTGGGCCTGAGCGGCATCAGCTGGGCCCCTTGCTGGGCCTGAGCACGACAAGGCGAGCATCATCAGCATCAGCTGGGCCCCTTGCTGCAGCTGGGCCCCTTGCTGGGCCTGAGCACGACAAGGCGAGCATCATCAGCATCAGCTGGGCCCTTGCTGGGCCTGAGAGGCACGACAAGGCGAGCATCATCAGCATCAGCTGGGCCCCTTGCTGGGCCTGAGCACGACAAGGCGAGCATCATCAGCATCAGCTGGGCCCCTTGCTTGGCCTGAGCAGCGCGACAAGGCGAGCATCATCAGCATCAGCTGGGCCCCTTGCTGGGCCTGAGCAGCACGACAAGGCGAGCATCATCAGCATCAGCTGGGCCCCTTGCTGGGCCTGAGCACGACAAGGCGAGCATCATCAGCATCAGCTGGGCCCCTTGCTGGGCCTGAGCGGCACGACAAGGCAAGCACAAGGCGAGCATCATCAGCATCAGCTGGGCCCCTTGCTGGGCCTGAGCGGGACAAGGCGAGCATCAGCATCAGCTGGGCCCCTTGCTGGGCCTGAGCGGCACGACAAGGCGAGCATCATCAGCATCAGCTGGGCCCCTTGCTGGGCCTGAGCACGACAAGGCGAGCATCATCAGCATCAGCTGGGCTCCTTGCTGGGTGAGCGGCACGACAAGGCGAGCATCATCAGCATCAGCTGGGCCCCTTGCTGGGCCTGAGCACGACAAGGCGAGCATCATCAGCATCAGCTGGGCCCCTTGCTGGGCCTGAGCGGCACGACAAGGCGAGCATCATCAGCATCAGCTGGCCCCTTGCTGGGCCTGAGCACGACAAGGCGAGCATCATCAGCATCAGCTGGGCCCCTTGCTGGGCCTGAGCGGCACGACAAGGCGAGCATCATCAGCATCAGCTGGGCCCCTTGCTGGGCCTGAGCGGCGCGACAAGGCGAGCATCATCAGCATCAGCTGGGCCCCTTGCTGGGCCGGAGCGGCACGACAAGGCGAGCATCATCAGCATCAGCTGGGCCCCTTGCTGGGCCTGAGCGGCACGACAAGGCGAGCATCATCAGCATCAGCTGGGCCCCTTGCTGGGCCTGAGCGGCGCGACAAGGCGAGCATCATCAGCATCAGCTGGGCCCCTTGCTGGGCCTGAGTGGCACGACAAGGCGAGCATCATCAGCATCAGCTGGGCCCCTTGCTGGGCCTGAGCGACACGACAAGGTGAGCATCATCAGCATCAGCTGGGCCCCTTGCTGGGCCTGAGCACGACAAGGCGAGCATCATCAGCATCAGCTGGGCCCCTTGCTGGGCCTGAGCGGCACGACAAGGCAAGCATCATCAGCATCAGCTGGGCCCCTGAGCGGCACGACAAGGCAAGCATCATCAGCATCAGCTGGGCCCCTGAGCGGCACGACAAGGCGAGCATCATCAGAATCTGCTGGGCCCCTTGCTGGGCCTGAGCGGCACGACAATGCGAGCATCATCAGCATCAGCTGGGCCCCTTGCTGGGCCTGAGCACGACAAGGCGAGCATCATCAGCATCAGCTGGGCCCCTTGCTGGGCCTGAGCACGACAAGGCCATCATCAGCATCAGCTGGGCCCCTTGCTGGGCCTGAGCGGCACGACAAGGCGAGCATCATCAGCATCAGCTGGGCCCCTTGCTGGGCCTGAGCACGACAAGGCGAGCATCATCAGCATCAGCTGGGCCCCTTGCTGGGCCTGAGCGGCACGACCAGGCGAGCATCATCAGCATCAGCTGGCCGCTTGCTGGGCCTGAGCGGGATGGCAAGGCGAGCATCATCAGCATCAGCTGGGCCCCTTGCTGGGCCTGAGCACGACAAGGCGAGCATCATCAGCATCAGCTGGGCCCCTTGCTGGGCCTGAGCGGCACGACAAGGCAAGCATCATCAGCATGAGCTGGGCCCCTGAGCGGCACGACAAGGCGAGCATCATCAGCATCAGCTGGGCCCCTTGCTGGGCCTGAGCGGCACGACAAGGCGAGCATCATCAGCATCAGCTGGGCCCCTTGCTGGGCCTGAGCACGACAAGGCGAGCATCATCAGCATCAGCTGGGCCCCTTGCTGGGCCTGAGCGGGACACGGCGAGCATCATCAGCATCAGCTGGGCCCCTTGCTGGGCCTGAGCACGACAAGGCGAGCATCATCAGCATCAGCTGGGCCCCTTGCTGGGCCTGAGCGGCACGACAAGGCGAGCATCATCAGCGTCAGCTGGGCCCCTTGCTGGGCCTGAGCACGACAAGGCGAGCATCATCAGCATCAGCTGGGCAACTTGCTGGGTGAGCGGCACGACAAGGCGAGCATCATCAGCATCAGCTGGGCCCCTTGCTGGGCTTGAGCACGACAAGGCGAGCATCATCAGCATCAGCTGGGCCCCTTGCTGGGCCTGAGCGCGGCAAGGCGAGCATCATCAGCATCAGCTGGGCCCCTTGCTGGGCCTGAGCGGGACAAGGCGAGCATCATCAGCATCAGCTTTGCCCCTTGCTGGGCCTGAGCACGACAAGGCGAGCATCATCAGCATCAGCTCTGCCCCTTGCTGGGCCTGAGCACGACAAGGCGAGCATCATCAAGCTGGGCCCCTTGCTGGGCCTGAGCGGCACGACAAGGCGAGCATCATCAGCATCAGCTGGGCCCTTGCTGGGCCTGAGCACGACAAGGCGAGCATCATCAGCATCAGCTGGGCCCCTTGCTGGGCCTGAGCACGACAAGGCGAGCATCATCAGCATCAGCTGGGCCCCTTGCTGGGCCTGAGCGGCACGACAAGCAGCATCATCAGCATCAGCTGGGCCCCTTTCACGACGACAAGGCGAGCATCATCAGCATCAGCTGGGCCCCTTGCTGGGCCTGAGCGGCACGACAAGGCGAGCATCATCAGCATCAGCTGGGCCCCTTGCTGGGCCTGAGCGGCACGACAGGGCGAGCATCATCAGCATCAGCTGGGCCCCTTGCTGGGCCTGAGCACGACAAGGCGAGCATCATCAGCATCAGCTGGGCCCCTTGCTGGGCCTGAGCGGGACAAGGCGAGCATCATCAGCATCAGCTTTGCCCCTTGCTGGGCCTGAGCACGACAAGGCGAGCATCATCAGCATCAGCTGGGCCCCTTGCTGGGCCAGGCGAGCATCATCAGCATCAGCTGGGCCCCTTGCTGGGCCTGAGCGGCACGACCAGGCGAGCATCATCAGCATCAGCTGGCCGCTTGCTGGGCCTGAGCGGCACGGCAAGGCGAGCATCATCAGCATCAGCTGGGCCCCCTGCTGGGCCTGAGCACGACAAGGCGAGCATCATCAGCATCAGCTGGGCCCCTTGCTGGGCCTGAGCGGCACGACAAGGCAAGCATCATCAGCATCAGCTGGGCCCCTGAGCGGCACGACAAGGCGAGCATCATCACCTTGCTGGGCCTGAGCGGCACGACAAGGCGAGCATCATCAGCATCAGCTGGGCCCCTTGCTGGGCCTGAGCACGGCAAGGCGAGCATCATCAGCATCAGCTGGGCCCCTTGCTGGGCCTGAGCACGACAAGGCGAGCATCATCAGCATCAGCTGGGCCCCTTGCTGGGCCTGAGCGGCACGACAAGGCAAGCATCATCAGCATCAGCTGGGCCCGGCACGACAAGGCGAGCATCATCAGCATCAGCTGGGCCCCTTGCTGGGCCTGAGCGGCACGACAAGGCGAGCATCATCAGCATCAGCTGGGCCCCTTGCTGGGCCTGAGCACGACAAGGCGAGCATCATCAGCATCAGCTGGGCCGCTTGCTGGGCCTGAGCGGCACGACAAGGCAAGCATCATCAGCATCAGCTGGGCCCCTGAGCGGCACGACAAGGCAAGCATCATCAGCATCAGCTGGGCCCCTGAGCGGCACGACAAGGCGAGCATCGTCAGCATCAGCTGGGCCCCTTGCTGGGCCTGAGCGGCACGACAAGGCGAGCATCATCAGCATCAGCTGGGCCCCTTGCTATGCCTGAGCGGCACGACAAGGCGAGCATCATCAGCATCAGCTGGGCCCCTTGCTGGGCCTGAGCGGCACGACAAGGCAAGCATCATCAGCATCAGCTGGCCCCTGAGCGGCACGACGAGGCGAGCATCATCAGCATCAGCTGGGCCCCTTGCTGGGCCTGAGCGGCACGACAAGGCGAGCATCATCAGCATCAGCTGGGCCCCTTGCTGGGCCTGAGCACGACAAGGCGAGCATCATCAGCATCAGCTGGGCCCCTTGCTGGGCCTGAGCGGCACGACAAGGCAAGCATCATCAGCATCAGCTGGGCCCCTGAGCGGCACGACAAGGCAAGCATCATCAGCATCAGCTGGGCCCCTGAGCGGCACGACAAGGTGAGCATCATCAGCATCAGCTGGGCCCCTTGCTGGGCCTGGGCGGCACGACAAGGCGAGCATCATCAGCATCAGCTGGGCCCCTTGCTGGGCCTGAGCGGCACGACAAGGCGAGCATCATCAGCATCAGCTGGGCCCCTTGCTGGGCCTGAGCGGCACGACAAGGCAAGCATCATCAGCATCAGCTGGGCCCCTGAGCGGCACGACAAGGCGAGCATCATCAGCGTCAGCTGGGCCCCTTGCTGGGCCTGAGCGGCACGACAAGGCGAGCATCATCAGCATCAGCTGGGCCCCTTGCTGGGCCTGAGCACGACAAGGCGAGCATCATCAGCATCAGCTGGGCCGCTTGCTGGGCCTGAGCGGCACGACAAGGCAAGCATCATCAGCATCAGCTGGGCCCCTGAGCGGCACGACAAGGCAAGCATCATCAGCATCAGCTGGGCCCCTGAGCGGCACGACAAGGCGAGCATCGTCAGCATCAGCTGGGCCCCTTGCTGGGCCTGAGCGGCACGACAAGGCGAGCATCATCAGCATCAGCTGGGCCCCTTGCTATGCCTGAGCGGCACGACAAGGCGAGCATCATCAGCATCAGCTGGGCCCCTTGCTGGGCCTGAGCGGCACGACAAGGCGAGCATCATCAGCATCAGCTGGGCCCCTTGCTGGGCCTGAGCGGCACGACAAGGCGAGCATCATCAGCATCAGCTGGGCCCCTTGCTGGGCCTGAGCACGACAAGGCGAGCATCATCAGCATCAGCTGGGCCCCTTGCTGGGCCTGAGCGGCACGACAAGGCGAGCATCATCAGCATCAGCTGGGCCCCTTGCTGGGCCTGAGCAGCCGATGTGTCGGCCTCGAGAGTTCCTGAACCCAAAGCCGGCGCATCATGGGCCTCGAGACGGGTCTGCCTTGAGTTCCGGCCCAAGAAGCCCGAGGCCCTGGATTCCTTTTGGCCGTAAAGTGCAAGCTGCGCCCTCTTTGAGTCTAGAGTTCTGCTTGAAGTCTAGAGTCTCAAAAGCCCCCAAAGCAATAGGCTTGGGGTGACGGCGTCGCCTCCTCTCAGGATAGAGTGAAGGCTCTTCAGAAACAGACCGCAGCAAGTCGCTTGCGCGTGATCCGCTCCCTTGTTGCAACACGCTTCTCCCAGGTTTTTCCACGCCCTAAGCCCCCGAACTGTGTCATGGTTTTGGGTGTTTCCATTGCCATTTCTAGATTTCGGACTGCTATTCCCGCAGTATCCTTGAATCTCATGTCCAGCTGGGGCCGCTAGGGGCTGCTCCTTGCGGCCGAATTCATTCGGGCCACAGCGATGCTCATTATGCTTGGGTACGATGGCAAAGCATGCCAAAACAGATGAAACCCTCACAGGCAGCACGAGCGCAGCCTCCGATGCTTCACACCCGAGTGAACGCGCACCCGAGCCTTCAGCCCTCAGCCTAAACCCCAAACCCCAAACCCCAAACCCCAAACCCCAAACCCTAAACCCTAAACCCTAAACCCTAAACCCTAAACCCTAAACCCTCAGCCCTCACAAGCTGCCGCAGGCCGGCTCTCAGCAGCCTCGGAGAGCTCAGGGGGCTCTTGCCCCTTCAGCAGCTGGGGCGGAAGAATCACACTTACGGTTTAGGGTTTAGGGTTTAGGGTTATGGCTTTGAGCCATTTAAAGCTTCGTGGTTTATAGGGGTTGGGGTGCTGCAGGGTGGTTTTGGGTTTCGGGTTTAGGGGTTCAGGATGCTACACGCGATTGATCGCCCGAAACCGAGGCCCGAAACTCTAATATAGGGGTCGGAATACTTCCCAATAACATTCCCTTATGGTCCCTTTTTAATGATACTACCTTGTTCTACTTTATTCAGGCTCCTACATTAAATCCGGCCCAGGTGGCGTGTTTGGCAGCCGCCGATCGTGAGACGGCCCCTGGTCCCTCCTGTTTGTTTTATTCGCACCACAGTCGCACCATAGAGATAAAGACGTTGTGCGTCTCATGTGTAGGGACTGTTTGCCTAGAATCTTGGTCACAACATGCTCCGCTCCCAAATTGCAAACTGGTGCTACAATCCCTAAACCCTAAACCCTAAAACTCTGAACCCCTAAACCCCTAAACCCACTTGAAGTGAAACAAAAAGAGCCGGCTGGTCAGGCCACATTTTTAAAGCCCTGCCCGCCATGGCGGCACTAGCGAGCGGCCGGGCCGACGAAGTTTTCTCCTGGTTGAGGCTTAAAAGTTTAGGGTTTAGGGTTTAGGGTTTAGGGTTTAGGGTTTAGGGTTTAGGGTTTAGGGCAGTTAGGTAGTCCGGCGCGAAATGTTGACAGTCGGACGTTGGCAGCCCATGCCTGCTTTCACAACTTCCTCGGTGACATCTCTCCACTTGGCTCTCGCCGCACATCCGAAAATCTGTACGAGAGATCCGAGCAGACATGGCATCGGATGCGTTAGGAAGCAATCGTGGGTCTGCTGCAACAGCAACAACTGTTTCTTCGAGAAAGTGTTACTGCTTCACTGGCCATTTCACCTACTCGTACTACAGGTGTGAAGGTCGTATGTGTAAGTGGATATGCTGTCCTGCGCATCTGGTAAGGAGGAGGGTATCGGCGCAGCAGCATCAACCGAAACATGAAACCTAGTTCCAGTTTCATGTCTCGAGACGCACCCTGTGATCGACCTTGTTGCTCCTCAGATGCTGCCCCACCACATGCTGCAGCTCAAGTGGCGCTTACACTCAAGACCAGTATCCATGCCCGGATTCAGGCTTCAACACATGGAACTGAGAGCTTTCTACCCGGCAGCATGCTGAGCCCTGAAGCCAGACACTTAAATCCTAAGCTTGAAGCCCCAAAACTCAAAAGTTGCAACCGGCCCATGGGCTACCAGCTCTAGCCACTCTCGTCCTCCAACTGTACCCCTTCGTTTGTACAAGCTTGGGGCTCAGGGTTCCCCTCAAGACCTGTGCCAGTCAGCCATGCTCCGCTCGCGATGGGCGCCGGCCGGTGTGTGGCTGAGGCGCCAACATGTCAGCCAAATGAAGCTGAGGGCCTTGGGGTCGCGAATAGGCAGAAGATAGGTACGGTGCAGTGAAAATTTGGGTATACTTGGCACCTGACCTCACAAGGCGATGCAAGGTCTCCGGCTGTGTACCACATCGCCCGCCGTCTCTGGGCGTGGGGCACGGCACGGCTCCCTGGCCATTTCGGCGCCCTCCTTGCGTTGCGCCTGGGAGCCTCCGTCCGAGCCTGAGCCAGGCGACCGCGGCCTCCTGCAGAGGCCTCTCGGGCACACCCTCACCGGCTTCGGCCTCGGCGGCTTCGGCTCCCTTGAGCCCCACAGCTGATGCCCTGAAGATCGTGGCCGGGATCGCCGGCTTCCTAGGCTTCGACGCTGCGGTGCGGTTGGCGATCGACACATGCGGGCTTCACCTGCTGCCTTCCCAGATTTGCAGCATGCTCAGCGCCTTCGGTGGGCTCTCGCTGGCTCATGCCCTGGCGCCCGCTGCTGCGAGCCAAGCGCACCAAGCACTGATGCCGGCGGTGGGTTGGGTTGGCCGCTGGCTGCCGGTCTTCCTGGTGCCCGTGCAGGTTCCTGGTTCGTCCAAAAACAAGGGTACCGGGTACCGGGACACATAAAATATGAAAGCTGCAAGTGGCTTCAAGGTGACTCTGCCCACAATCCTCTTCCCCGGCGGCGCGGCGGAGGCCGCGGGCCTGGGGCTTCTGCTCGCTGGCGGCTGGGCGGCCGCCGTGGCTGGCGCTGCCCGCCTGGTGCTGCTGCTGGCTCCGCAGCTGCCTGCCGCGGAGGCGCGCCTGAAGCAACACAAGCCTGATAAGCCCTGAGATGTAAGGAAAAAGGCTTTGGAAAGCCCGAAGCCGTGAAGGCCTCAAACGAACCCTCAGCCCAACACCCTGAAGTCCTGAAATCCTTGAGCATGGCAGCTCAACACTGCCCTAAGCCCCGCAAGGCCTCAGCTGCCGCGAAAGCCGCCGGCCCCAGGAAACTGCTGCCGTTCTGCGCAGCCTGGCTTCTGCTGGCAGCGGCCACCGCTCCTCTGGGCGTCTGGCCGGAGCTTCTTGGGCTTTGCGTCAGCTAAGGATTCTAGAAGAGCTTTCAACCTTAATAAGGAGCCAGGGCATCTAAGCGAGCTCGACGAAGCGGAACAGGAATGCTTGTGCTTCCTTTTTACTATAATAGGGCGATGTCAATTTGCGCATATTTCACCCACGTCACATGTCGCTTTTGAGGAAGCCCTGAACCCTGAACCCTAGACCCGTAGACGCCAGAGATCATCGGACAATCAAGCTCATTAGGTTCATGGGAAGTTATACGTAGGGTTATAGCCCCAAATAGCTGAACCGGTAGAAATTTTGCTTCTAGCTAGATATAACCTCCGGAAACCCCTAAACCCTAAAGCCCTGACCCTAAACCCTAAAGCCCTAAACCCCAAACTCCTAAAGCCCCAAACTCTAAATCCTAAAGCCCTAAAGCCCTGTATCATAAACCCTAAAGCCCTAAAACCCTGAAGCCCTAATCCCTAAGCCCTGATCCCCGAAACTCCTAACCCCTAAACCCTAAACCCTAAACCCCTAAACCCCTAAACCCCTAAACCCCTAAACCCTAAAGCCCCAAACCCAAACCCCAAACCCCAAACCCCAAACCCCAAACCCCAAACCCCAAACCCCAAACCCCAAACCCCAAACCCTAAACCCTAAACCCTAAACCCCTAAACCCCTAAACCCCGAAACCCCTCTAACCCCTAAGCCCCCCTAAAGCCCAGGCTCTGGGAGGGCCCGGAGGAGCGCTGTCGGCAGCTCCGTGGTGCGGCTTTGGCTGCCTTGGGCGTGGGGAGCTTCGCGCTGGCCGTGCACCGGGGCCTGCCGCTCGGTCTTAGGGGTTAAGGTTTGTTGTCTTTTTTTGGGTTTAGGGTTTAGGGTTTAGGGTTTAGGGTTTAGGGTTTAGTGTTAGGGTTTAGGGTTTAGGGAATAATTAGGGTTTAGGGTTTAGGGTTTTGGAACCCAGAACCTTGCACTCTCAACTCCAAAACGGGAGGGGTTCAAGGTTTAGGGACTTCTTGTGCATTGAGGTTTTTTCATTGTCCAAGGGGCTTTAGGATTCGCACCTTCGAATTTGATTTTGCCCCCGTTCAGGGAATCCCTATGAAATGCTGCTATCCTAACCCCCGAAACCCTTAGCCCAAAACCCCGAACCCTAAACCCTAATCTTTTTGGTCTGGGAGGGGGTAGGTTTGATTGCTGAAGCCTTGGGCCGTTGCTAGGAAGCTGGGATGAATTACTTTGGAAGGGGACACAAAGAATCTGCGCTTCCTTGTAAAGGAAGAAATTTGCAGTTGGAGATCACGAGAGAACGCTCTTGAGCTGGAGAAGTTCGCCTTAAGCTTTCAAACTTTCTTGAAAGCCCATAGCCCAAGAGGCGAATTGCAAAATCCACGACTTTCCTAAATCCTAAACCCTAAACCCTAAACCCTAAACCCTAAGCCCTAAGCCCTAAACCCTAAACCCTAAACCCTAAACCCTAAACCCTAAACCCTAAACCCTAAACCCTAAACCCTAAACCCTAAACCCTAAACCCTAAACTCAACACAACCTTCACCCAGGCCCGGCCACCTTTGTTTTCTGGCCAACGGCGCCGCCACCATCGCAGGCGCGGCCGCCATGGCGGCGGCTCGTGGCGAAAGCTACAGCCAGGTGGTGAAGAGACGCTTCGGCTTAGGGTTTAGGGTTTCGGGCTAGGGTTTAAGGGTTTAGGGTTTAGGTTTTGGGGTTTAGGGTTTAGGGTTTAGGGAGTGCCTTCTTACTTTTTGCCAAAAACTTCTTCGTATCTTGATTGCTTTCTCAGCACATGCTCATTTACTGATATGACTATCACAATACGATAGTACTACTATTGCGACGTGCAAGGCTATGATCTTCGTGATTCAGGTTTGAAGGGTACCAGCTTTGGCAGCTTGTCGGGGCTGGAGGGTCAGGGTCGACGAAGTCCGACGAAGTGACGAAAGTGGAGTTTGGGTCTTGGCGCACGCGGTTAGCATTTGAACCTCCCCAGTTCCACTTCCTCTTGCGCAGGCCTTGAACAAGCATCAAAACCGCAAGCCCTGCAACTGAACTGAGCAAGAGAACAAGGCAACATTCGAGTTTCGACCTCCGAAGCCTGAACCATCCTGAACCTCTGACCCCCACATAGCATCCCTTATCCGATTCCCTAGATACCTACCCAAAACCCTCAAACCTCAAACCCTCAACCCTAAACCCTAAACCCTCAAACCCCCTGAGCCTGTCGGAAGCTCGTCGGCCCCTGGCGCCAAGCCCAGGAGACTACCTCGTAGGGGCTCAAGGGCCACCCGGGACTGGGGACATGCTGCTGTGGTGCCAAGGGCTCAGCCTCTTCTTCGCCTGCCCCCAAGAGCCTCTGTACGTACGTTGATAAGTACCTGCATACATATGTATATGTATCTGTCTATGTAATATGCGTATGTATATGTGTATGTACATGTACATGTACATGTAGCCAGAGAACACATGATAAAGATTGAGTGAACTGAAGATAGAAACCGTATGTTCTTTTTCATTCGCTCTTCTTTGCAGTGAGTTTTTGATTGCTTAAAGGGTTTAAGGGTTTAGGGCTCAGGGCTATAGGGGGTTCATTTGTTTAAGGGGTCTTAGGGGTGGAAGGGCTGAGGGCTTTAAGGGGTTTAGGGCTTTATGGGTTTAGGGTTTTACTGTTTGGGGCTACTCAGAAAACCTCGGTACCCAACTTGCTTAAGGGATCCTCAGGAGCAGGCTCACGGTAACGTTCACCCAGTTCTTTCTAGTGGTTACAAATGATTTCCTCTTCCAAAATCCTGTCTCAAAGTTAGTAAGGTTGTTCTGCGGACAGGAGAATGAGGAAAGTTATGAATGAAAGTATACGGGCCACAATAAGTCTTTTTGCTGGCCCGTTATCATCGTTTAAGACTCAACCTTCTATCTGTACCAGCTTGACTTAGAAAAACTTACCATCATGAGTCTTTCTACGTGACAGGAACTCTCTTGACAAGGAACCCACCGTCGGGACCCCAACATCAGGTTCTCCAGCTAGAACCGTGTAACACCTTGGAATCATGAGCCAGGATACTAGACGGTTGGTGCGTTGGTAATACTATGAGATTGGAATGAGTGAAGCGAATGCATTCGCACGCCAATCATTCGTTCACTCATTCACTCCTTTCATCACAAAAAAACATAAGCGAAGCGCGTGAATGAAAGGGTGTGAAACCCTAAAACCCGAACCCAAATCCCCTATTATCTTCAGGGGTTCGCACACGCCAGAGGCCTGGGACCAGCCCTGGTGTCCACAGGGGTGCAGATGTTCCAATACCGCAGCTTGGCTCCAGAGTTTAGGGTTTAGGGTTTTGGGTTTAGGGTGTAGGGTTCAGGGAATGTTTAGGGTTTAGGGTTTGGGGTTTAGTGCAACCCAAATCCTCTCAGCCCTAATCCCTAAACCCCGCACCTCTCGAAGATCCGAACATGGCCTGGCCAAACATCCTAGATGGCCCAAAACCCCCAAAACCTTGCTGGGCCAGCTACCATCCCATCGAGAGCTGCCCTAAACTCACCCACGTGTTCAGGGGAGGGGATAGGGGGCACGTCCCTGAACCCCAAACCCTTAACCCTAAGCCCTGCAGTTCGAATCTGAAGGTCTAGCGGTATAGGGTTGTTAGCTTAAGTCCGTACAGTTTTGCTCGGGAGACCTCGAGGACTTGTAAGTAGTTTCCTCAACCCCTCAGCCCTACACCATGAGACCTACCTTAAGCCCTAAACCCTAAGCCCTAAACCCTAAACCCTAAACCCTAAACCCTAAACCCTAAACCCTAAACCCTATACCCTCTCCCCTCTACCCTAAGCCCGAACTAAAGTCTCCATTCTAGAAAGCTTCAGGCTCGAAGTTTGCGTTTCGACCCTGGCGCCGAGGCGCGCGCATCGCGTCGCTCAGCAAGGTTCTCTTCCTGACCTGCGGAGCTGCCACGCCCCTGGAACGGGGTGTAGGGAACAGGGCTCAGGGTTTGGGTTGGGAGTTTCAGGGTTCAGGGTTTACTCTCTGAGGGGACGGTTTAGGGGTAGAATCGGCTTGAGCTTTTATTTTTCCAGAGGCTTCTATGTGTAGCATACTCCTTTTCAGTGTCTCCTACGGTCTATTCCTATTATTTGAGTCTCTCTTCTCGTATACGCCGGGTAGCTTAAAGACACCCCTTCTAGGTTATCAGTCAAGCTGAGTGTACACAGCATTCATGAGCCGGTCGTGGTCTGGTGCTCTGAGCATGAGTGACAGATGCTTTATAGGGATGTCCCAACATCCTTCAAGCACGCTCCATTCAGCTCACTCCTTGCAACATGAAGTATGTTTTGACAGAAGTCGACCCGTCTTGGGGCAAGATCAGGTTTCAGTGCTCGTAGTAGGGCCCAAGCAGGCACAACAGACAGCCCGAAATGCATTCGACAACATGCCGAATATTCTCCAGAAGGTCCCTAAGCCCTCAACTCCTGGAACTCTAAACCAAAGCCACAGAGGGCCCCAAAACACCCTCGGCCCCGAAAAGTAATCAATGGGCAGCCAGTCCTACCCCGAGCCCTAAACACCCGTAAACACACAAATACTTGAGACCCCCTAAACCCTAAACCCTAAACACTAAACCCTAAACCCTAAACCCTAAACCCTAAACCCTAAACCCTAAACCCTAAACCCTAAACCCTAAACCCTGAACCCTGAACCCTGAACCCTGAACCCTGAACCCTGAACCTTGAACCTTGAACCTTGAACCCTAAACCCTAAACCCTAAACCCTGAACCAGGTGTCTTTGTGTAACGTGCTGGGCACAGCCGCTGCCGGGCCTCTTCTGGGAGTGTCTCCGGACGTGACGCTCGCGGCCACCATGAGGCTGGGGCACAGGGGTTTAGGTTTCGGGTTTAGGGTTTCGGGCGTAGGGTTTCCGGTTTAGGGTTCAGGGTTTAGGGTTTAGAGTGCAACAAAAGCTGTCAACCTCAAAGCCTTTTTAGGCCGGATTGGACTGGGAGGGTGCTCCATTCGTTGAGTGTTGCAGAAATCTTCGGCAGTTTCATTGTGGCAGTTGGATCCGAAGCCTGGTAGGTTGTGCCTTTTAGGGTTTAGGGTTTAGGGGTTAGGGTTTAGGGCCTGTTTTGCCTGTTCAAAAAAGAATTCAGGGTTGGGTGCTTTGGTTAATTTCCCTTCTTCCCTGATAAGGCAACCTATTCATAAATAGTTTTCAAAGGGGGTTTAAAGCACAGAATATCATTGTACCATAACGCGGTTTAGGCATGGGCTTTCACCCAATGGAAGGTGCGTCACGATCCCCATGGCGCTGCCCACGTATGCCCGCCTCTGCGAAGTGAGTGGTGCTGAGAACAACGTGGCCCTGGTGGCGCTCTGCGCAGGCGAGAAAGCCACAACCGCTGCTGTTGTCTAAGCCCGAAGCCCTAGGTGTAATCAGTCCTATGCCCTCAACCCTGAACCCTACTGCTACCAGTAGGACTTGCCCACTGGGCAGCTGACGCCGTAAAATCGCAAGCAAAGACAAAACCTACTGCTACCAGTAGCTATTCTGTTCGGTTTGTAGAGTGTTGAGGCCTTCCTGCCAATTGCGGGGTCTCCGCTCTTCTTTCTCGTAGGTGCTGTGTATGCTCCTGCCAGGAGTGTCCGGGTTCATTGGGTTCGGGCCTCAGATCAAGCGTGGTGGGGGGGTCAGGATCCGAGACCTGTGGGGATGGCAGCGCCTGCCTCTGCATCTCGGTTTAGGGTTTAGGGTTTAGGGTTTAGGGTTTAGGGTTTAGGGTTTAGGGTTTAGGGGCATGAGCTGTAATCCGCACGGTCGGAGGATGAGAGCCACTTAGGGCTGAGAACTTCCAGCCTCCCTGCATGTCCCACCTACCGGTAAGTCGAAAGTCTAAAGCCCTAAACCCTGAACCCTGACTTGTCTGACCCGTGTCAGCAGTGCTAGCCCCTGGGCCCGAATCAGCCGAGCTTGTTACTGATTGCCCACTTCCTTGCCTACACACAAAAGACAAAAAAAAACGCCGGAATCAGCAGCAGTTCGGCACATTGAGCCATGGTTCTCCCGGGTGATGATGCAGAAGCAAGCAGGGCGTTGTTGATCGAAAGGCGGAGTCAGCGGGGCTCGATCATCATTGTTTCCATCATCCTGGTGCTGACTGTCGGGCTTTTTGTGCTGTTGATGCTGATGCCGAAGTTGGTGGCATCCGGGTTGCTTGCTTATTCATTCGGTCTCCGCCATGCAGTTGACGTGGACCACATTGCCGCCATCGACAATATCACACGCAAGCTGACGACTCGTGACAGCAGCCCCCGCACGGTTGGCATGTTTTTTGCTCTTGGGCACTCCTCTGTGGTCTTCCTCGCTTGCTGCGCGATTCTGCTCACGCAGCGGTTCATGAGCGACTTTCTGGACACCTTCAGCAAGTATGGCAGCATAGTCGGTACAGCCATTTCAGGAGGCTTTCTGTTTGCACTGGGCCTCCTGAATCTCTACACGGCGACGCAGCTGTGGATGGCCTGGCGTGGAGGCACCCGTAGTGCTCACAGCCATGATGTCATTGGCTGCTGCCTGAGATGTTGCCCGCGCCTTTTCGACTCGATCTCCAAGCCCTGGCACATGCTGGTGGTAGGTTTCCTATTCGGGCTTGGGTTCGATACCTCAACTGAGGTGGGACTCCTGGCGATTGTGGCAGTCTCACACGGCCTCGTTACCCCCTTCGTCATCTTGCTTCTGCCGTTGCTCTTCATGTCGGGCATGTGCCTGCTCGATACCCTGAACGGCTTCTTCATGGCCTGGATCTATCGGACGTCCTTGGAGGACGACGACCAGAAGATCTACTTCAACTTGTTTGTGACCGTCACCTCTGGCCTGGTGGCACTGCTGGTGGGGCTCCTGGAGCTGCTGGGTCTGCTGGGCAGCCAGGCCAGGCTCCATGGCTGGTTTTGGGAGGCCGTGCAGTCGGCCAACGACCATTTCGAGCTCCTCGGGTTGGCGGTCGTGTCGCTCTTCTTCCTTGCCATGATGACGGCCGTGTGCTGCTTCAGACGGGTGTTCCGAGATCGGCAGGCCCGGAGGCCGTCGCCCGCGTACGTCCGGGAGCATGTGATACGCTACGTTCAGAATGGGCAGTTCATTGACAGGTCTGGCGTGTGACGAAGTGCTTGCGCGCTACCCGAAACCCTAACCCTAAACCCTAAACCCTAAACCCTCAACCCTAAACCCTAAACCCTAAACCCTAGTGCAGGCCAATCCGAGCCTCAGGCTCGACCACCGCAGACCTCTCACTCATGTAGTCAGGACATATTCTGTATATTATATGTAAAATGTGAATGTGAATTATATGCTTAGGGCCTTTATATTCCCTCAACTCTTATATGTAAAATGTTTATGTGAACTATTTAAAGATAAACATAACATGAATAGATAAATAAATTGTGTATATATGTACATATACATATACATATATATATATATATATATATATATATATACTGGCCATGCCCTCTTTAAGCTCAGCATCCCAACTCAGGGTACTCCCACCAACAGCAGCGCCGACCACACAGGTGCTTTCTCCGCACAACACACCTCCGACTCTTCCGAAGAGACCCTGAACCCTAAACCCTAAACCCTAAACCCTAAAGCCTAAACCCCAAACCCTAAACCCTAAACCCTAAAACCCTCGGCCAGCTAACATAGACAAACCCTTCAAGCCCAAACCTGCAACTTTCTAAACCGTCAACCCGAAAACCCCTAAAACCCTAAGCTCTTCACCCGAAGCCAGCCCTGGCCCTAAAACCCTAAGCCCTCTACAACCCTAAGCCCTAAACCCCCAAAACCCTAAACCCCCTGCAACCCTAAGCCCTAAACCCCTAAAACCCCTCAACCCGAAAGCCCTTCAACCCTGAGCCCCAAGGTTCGGCTTCTCCCAGCGCTTTTTGTCCTCAGCTGTCTGCGGAGCGACTGCGGATCCTGCCAGGGACCCGTCATGGGTTTAGGGTTTAGGGTTTCGGGTTTCGGATGTTGGACTTCAAGATTTTCCGGTTCTCTTGGGGTTGTGAGCCTTGGGGGTTTGGGTTTTGGGGGGTTGACATGTTCTCGCATTGGTAGGAACTTGCATTCTGAGTGCAGGGCGTTTAGTCTTTCACTTCGGGTTCGTCGTCTCATCATCTCAAACGAGAACGCGGAGCGTGCCAAGTTGATGCCGATGAACTTCTGTGCATGTTAATGCATTGCATTTTCCCGTGTTGCTCAAGCCGGGACAGCTCGCATAGCTTCGAGGCCATCGTAATCTGAAACGCCCCCAGCGAAATCGAAGATGGCCCGCTCCCTTGTGTTGACCGGTGCCGTGCTGCTGTGCTCGGGTGCTCTCTTCACGGCCTTCGTGCCGGTCCCCCGAAGCTCTCCGGCAGTGTCGGTCCCAGCGACCGAGACGGCGACAGCGGCAGCGCTGACGGCCCTCGTCACCCCCCAGGCGAGGAAGAGGGTGAGAGTTGAAGGGCTACTTGGAGTGCGCTGAGACATCATACAGGCAGAGCATCTTAAAGTCTGAAGGAATAAAAGGCCATCGCTTTTTGCTTTTTTCCTGGCTTGACCTGGACAGATGTTCCATCCCAAAGCGCTCCTTACAAAGTAGGGTTCTAAAGTACCATAAACGGGATTACAAGGACAATTACCATGCCTAGAACCTTACTAAAAGCTACCCATGATGAACCTCCAAGTATGAAGCGCTAGCAAGCTACTGCAAAAGGGGTAAGGGTAGCTTCACAACACCCGAACCACAGTTCTGCCGTCTCCCATTCGCAGACTTTGGAGTCTGCCAGAAGCGTAGTTTTTCAAGATGGCCACAATATTGACGGCAACTTTGTAAGGGGCCCTGAAGGTGTATTCAGGGCAAGGGAAAACCCTAAACCCTAAACCCTAAACCCTAAACCCTAAACCCTAAACCCTAAACCCTAAACCCTAAACCCAGGGCAAGGGATTGCGCGCGCCTTGTCACGGCCCAGGTTGCAGAATTAGGGTTTCAGTGCGGCTTCTCCTGGCCATAATGCTGTTCCTGCCGCTTTTAGGGCCCTAGCTGTGCATGGGGTTTTGGGGTTTAGGGGTTTAGGGTTTAGGGTTCAGGGTTTAGGGTCTAGGGTTTAGGGTTTAGGGTTTAGGGCTTGGAGCTACATGCGACGCTCCTGTCACGCAAGACATGGACTTGCTTTGGCAGAACGATACCGTTGGGCACACGAGCATGGGAGTTCATTGAACCGCTCGAACAAGGCACATGCTCTTGGTGCACATGAAAAAGTGGAGAAAGATTCAACTACTTGGCTTTGTCGCACCCTTATGCAGAATTCTGGTATAGACAGCCCCGCGTTGATGCACCAGTCCACCGATGCACGTCGGTACACTGGTCCGGGCCTCCCCAACCTGATCACATCAGCACAGGGACCGTTCCACGGCGACCCCTAGGCAACTTCCAGGCGAAAAGCCCACAAGCCCCCAAAATACTCAAACCCTAAATTTAAGAGCCTCCGGCTCAAGCCGCCGACCCCGCAGGAGAACAAGTTTAAGGATTGGGTTTGGGTGGGGGGTTTGGGTGGGGGGGGTGGCGGGGGGGTGGGTGGGGGGGTGCTGGGGCCTGGCGAGACGCTGCTTGGGCGAGGGGGGGGGGGGGGGGGGGGGGGGGATTTTTCCAAAAGAGCCCCTATGCTCTGTGCGAAACCGCCTATGGTCCATGAGTTTACGCGGTGTGGGTGGCCTGTTCCTCCACGGAAAAGCTGCCGGGGGACCCCCCCAACCCCCCCCCCCGCGTTTTGGGGGGGTAAGGAGGGAAAGAGGGAGGTTTTCACCTCCTTTTCCCATCCAACACGCCGCCAGGGTCGGCGGACCCTAAACCCTAAACCCTAAACCGTGAACCCTAAACCCTAAACCCTAAACCCTAAACCCAACCCTAAACCCTAAGCTCTAACTTGTAACCCTAACCCGCCAGCTGCTCAAGCCAAACACGAAACCCTCCACATGATTAACTAGCAGGACAATACTGGCAATCATAACACAAACTACAATACTCTTAATGAACCCTGACGCAAAAAACAAAATTCATCATCATAACAACAATCACAACAAAAGCAATCATAACAATAATAGCAATCGAAACAATCATAGCAGTAAAGAAACAGTAACCCTAAACCCTAAACCCTAAACCCTAAGCCCTCAACCCTCAACCCTAAACCCTAAACCCTAAACCCTAAACCCTAAACCCTAAACCTTGAACCCTAAACCCTAAATCCTAAACCCTAAACCTTGAACCCTAAACCCTAAATCCTAAGCCCTAAATTATATGCAGCCCTGACCCCCTCCCAACAGGCAGCCTATGCGGACGAAGGTGCCGTGTGGATCCCAGCCCTCTCTGCGATCCTCGGGCTCTGAAAAGCAGGTTCAGGGTTTAGGGTTTAGGGTTTTGGGGTTTTGGGGTTTTGTGGTCTTGGGGTTAGGGTCTAGGGTTTAGGGTCCAGGGTTTAGGGTTTGGGTGGTCTAGGGTTTAGGGTTTTAGGGTTTTAGGGTTCAGGGTTTTGGGCACAGGCTTTGGGACTTTGTTCGAGCCTGCATGAGAATTCAGGGTGTGTGGGGTTCTCACAGGCAGTATCAAAGTCAGAGCGATGACCTGCAGACATCAACCGGAGATCAGGGATGCAGCAGCTTCGGCTCTCTTCTTTTTAGGGTTTAGGGTTTAGGGTTTCGGGTTTAGGGTTTAGGGTTTAGCGTTTACGCCGTACGCCTCTCCAGGCCCGCAACCCACATCCCCGGACCCCCCATGGCAGAAATCAGCATTGCAGAGAAGACCTAGCCAGGTTCTCCTTCGCCATAATGTAGAGTTTCCCTTCCTTCCGGTTTAGGGTTTAGGGTTTAGGGTTTAGGGTTTAGGGTTTAGGGTTTAGGATTTAGGGTTTAGGGTTTAGGGTTTAGGGTTTAGGGTTTAGGGTTAGGGTTTAGGGTTTAAGGTTTAGGGTTTAGGGTTTAGGGTTTAGGGTTTAGGGTTTAGGCTCAAATAAGTTTCCGAAGGGCTTGAAGTACGACTCAAGTGAAGCCCAGGATTGGTGCGGGCTTCGCCATTGGCCTGGCGGCCGCTCAGAAGCTTCAAGACCCTAAACCATACATAAACCCTAAACCCTCAGCCCCAAAGCCCTAAACCTAAACCCTAAGCCCTAAACCCTACACCTTTTGACCCCCCAAACATCGAAGAACTCCAAGCACCTGGCGTCAAGTCCAGTCGCCAGACTGCAGGATCTTGTAGAGTTCATATCGCTTAATTCCGAACTTCTGTCTCAACTTCACAACCTTTTTGTTAATGATCTTGCAGAGTTCATGTTTTCAATTAAGCATCTCGTAGAGTCTTATAGGGTTAGGGTGCAAGCTTTCCCCTCCTCTTAAAATCCCAAACCCTAAACCCTAAACCCTAAACCCTAAACCCTAAACCCTAAACCCTAAACCCTAAACCCTAAACCCTAAACCCTAAACCCTAAACCCTCAACCCTCAACCCTCAACCCTAAAACCTAAACCCTAAACCCTCAACCCTCAACCCTAAAACCTAAACCCTAAACCCTAAACCCTAAACCCTAAACCCTAAACCGTAAACCGTAAACCCTAAACCAAGGCCATCGGCTCGGGTGTTGGCCAGGGCATTGCGAGCGGCCGCTGCATCGACGGCATCTCCCGGCAGCCCGAGGCCAGAGTGAAGCATCCGAAAGGTTTAGGGTTTAGGGTTTAGGGTTGGTTTAGGGTTTAGGGTTTGGGGTTTAGGGTTTGTCCTGCAGCATTTCAGGGGCGGAAGGGGTTGGGGGGGAAGGGGTTGGGGGTAAGAGGAATAACGTCGAAAACCAGGGCAGGCCCCAGGCAACACAAGCTTGAAACCCTACCTTCAGCCCGAACCCCGAGCAGAAGTCCCCGAGCAGAAGTCCCGACAACACCTTCCTACAAACCGTGCCTACGTGCTAGCCTGAGAACCGAAACCTTCAACCCATCAACCCTCCACAGCCATGTCGGCCCGAAATCCCAATCAAACATGTCATCTTAAAACGCTACACAAGATTTGGCATGCGTCGCGGTGGCGTCCGCTTGGTGCAACCTTTAACAAGCGCGTTCTAAGCAGCTAAAATGTTGACGTGTCCCAGACGTGGATATATACATATATATATATACATAGATGAATAAATAAATAAATAAATAAATAAATAAATAAATAAATATATATATATATATATACATAAATATAAATATAAATATAAATATAAATATAAATATAAATATAAATATAAATATAAATATAAATAAATATATATATATATATATATGTTTATAATTATATTTATGTCTATATTTATACTTATTTTTAGATTAAATGTCGAACAGCTTCCACACCGAGCGGGCATCACACCTGTCGCTACTGCTGCTATACTGCTACTACTGCTGCTGCTTCTACTACTGCTACCGCTACTCCATCCTACTCCTCTTCCTCCCCCTACTACTACTACTACTACTACTACTACTACTACTACTACTACTACTACTACTACTACTACTACTACTACTACTACTACTACTACTACTACTACTACTACTACTACTACTACTACTACTCCTGCTGCTGCTGCTCCTACTACTACTACTACTACTACTACTACTACTACTACTACTACTACTACTACTACTACTACTACTACTACTACTACTACTACTACTACTACTACTACTACTGCTGCTGCTGCTGCTACTGCTACTGCTACTGCGACTGCGACTGCGACTGCGACTGCTACTGCTACAACTACCTCCCCCCAGTGCGACGGATGCCGTTTGATCCGTCAAGATGAAACCGCAAAACCGTGAAACTCGAAAGCCCCAAGAATATGTTAATGGTTTCAGGGTTCAGGTTTTGAGGGCAGAAGCGTTTTGGGTTTGAAGTGTTCGGTGTTTGCAGCAAAGGGTTTAGGCCAGCAGTGTTTTGGGCTTGCAGTCTTCGTATTTTGTGGCTGAGGGTTTTGGGGTTTGTGTTAAGAAAAAGCTGTAAATACCAAGGGATTCGCCTATCTGAAACGCAATTCCCCCCCCCCCCCCCCCCCCCCCCCCCCCCCCCCACCCCACCCCACCCCACCCACCCCACCCCCGAAAAAGCAGGATGCACTGGGAACCTGGACACAATCTTCCGTCGAGCACGGCCATGGACTCTGTGGCGCCTAAACAAACACGCTGCTATTTACAAATTTTCCGCAACACAACGAAAACGATTACACAGAATCGCAAAAAAGTTGACAAGGGAACGCTCAATTTAAAACATGTATGTGTGTGTGTGTGTTTTTGACAATTGTTCCTCGGAAATGACGAAAAGTGTGAAAAATGTCAAACGCGAATGCTAGAACAAAAGCAAAAAATCTATGTTTTCCTTGCGAGTATTCAACTTTTGAAAAACGACCCTCCAAAACTCGAGTAAACTGGCGCTTTGGCAGCTATTTTGGCATGACGTGCGAAAAAGTACCGTTTTTCCCGTCCCACCGGGGGGGAAGTCTTTTTTGCTGCTGCTGCTGCTACTACTACTACTACTACTACTACTACTCCTACTACTCCTATTACTCCTACTACCACTACTACTACTACTACTACTACTACTACTACTACTACTACTACTACTACTACTGGATGCTTTGCTTGCTTGTCTCATGGCCCTGGCGGTGCAGTTCAGGGTTAAGGGGAGATGCTTTGCTTGCTTGTCTCATGGCCCTGGCGGTGCAGTTCAGGGTTAAGGGGAGATGCTTTGCTTGCTTGTCTCATGGCCCTGGCAGTGCCGTTTAGGGATGTTTTATTCTCTGCTTGTCGCTTGGCCCCTCTGGGAAGGAGAAAGGCAGGATGTGGCATGGCTACCTCAAGCCTAAATCCTAAACCCTAATCCCGAAACCCGAAACTGTAAACCTTAAACCCTAAACCCTAAACACGCAAGTTGAGGCTGAAGGGAAGAAGCACTAATTTCCTCACGCAGTCTGCACCTTGAGCACTCCAAGTACTGCTTTGAGCAGACGCTGGGGGCTATCCCCTGTCCATTGATGCACCCTGTGCTTAATGAAGGAGGGCGTGAAGAGAAACGGAGATGGATGCTATCATCGTGCGGACATGGATGCATGCTCTGGTACCACGGACGTTATCATCGTGCGGACATGTATGCTCTAATAACACGGACGTTCTCATCGTGCGGACATGGATGCTTTGGTAACACGGACGTTAGCATCGTGCGGACATGGATGCTCTGGCAACACGGACGTTATCATCGTGCTGACAGGGATGCTCTGGTAACACGGACGTTATCGTCGTGCGGACATGGATGCTCTGGTAACACGGACGTTATCATCGTGCGGACATGGATGCTCTGCCATTCGCACGCCAGGAATCCAGGAAGTGTCGGGAAAGCCGAGGTTTTGGCATTTGACGTGCACGCATGCTGCGAATTTCCAACGCACGTGATTTGCCGTGTCCATTCGCAGGCAACGAAGCCACGAAGTGTTGTAAATACCGACGTTTTCGGCATGCGAAGGTAAGAAAGTACCAGGCGCCACAGGGAGCGCATGGCTGCTACTACTACTACTACTACTACTACTACTACTACTACTACTACTACTACTACTACTACTACTACTACTACTACTACTACTACTACTACTACTATACTACTACTACTACTACTACTACTACTACTACTACTACTACTACTACTACTACTACTACTACTACTACTACTACTACTACTACTACTACTACTACTACTGTTACTACTGCTACTGCTACTACTACTACTACTACTACTACTACTACTACTACTACTACTACTACTACTACTACTACTACTAGTACCATCCAGCCTAAGCCCGCGGCAGGTGGCCGACGACCTGCGAGGCGTGCTGCTTCTGTCATTGGCGTTCATGGCATCTTGGCGGCAGCCTGCATTTTTCTCCTTTTCGTCATGTGGCCTCGGAAATACAGCGTGGTGCGTTAGTAAGGGGAAGGGCCCCCCTGCCAAAAGTTCAGATAGACTGTGTGACATTGCGGTCTGATGAGACAGCTGTGCTAGAGCCTGTGTTTCAGATGCCTCCAAGGAGTCGCTGACCATTTATGGCTTGGTCATTGCCCTGGTGCTGCTCTTCGCCAACCCGCTTATCAAGTGAGGTGCTGTTTTACCACACGGCTCCTAGAAGTTTTGCGGCTTGAAGCTCTTGGTGGGATGCTTGAAAGCACCTGCTGCGACATTTTTCTGCATGGAAAGAGGAGACCGCTGACTTGTAGATCGGATGTTAGTAAAGGAGTCTGAGTAAGTACTTCCAGTATCTCTGCGCAATCCGTAGAAATGGAATGCGAACTAGCAACACACCCATTCTAACTGCAATGCCCAGACTTCACAGCAAGCAACTAGCGGAAGGTTCCAGAAACACCAGCGTTTTTTGTGCTTTCGACCGTCTTGCCTGGGTTAAGTCTCGGACCTTTCACGAGGTGGATCCTGGCCAAGAGATGGCACAGAGCAGGCATAGGATCCACAAGTTGAGGGATGATTCAGGTTTAGGGTTTAGGGCTTACTGGGTCATTGGGTCATTGTTGAAAATCATTTTACACTTTTGTGAATACTTAAAACCCAATAAGGCACAAGAATGCTCATGTCAAGTAATGCCCCAACAATGGTGCAGCTTAGGGGTCGGGGTTTAGGGTTTAGGGTTCAGGGTTCAGGGTTTAGGGTTTAGGGTTTAGGGTTTAGGGTTTAGGGTTTAGGGTTTAGAGGTCAGGGTTTAGGTTGCAGAGGTCGCGCGCGGCATCGCCACTGGTGCTGCTGCCCATGCACTTGGCGCGGCCTGTTTGGTCGCGGCGGAGCCAGAGGACTGGGCTGAGATGGTTGTTTCTGAAGGGTTTGAAGAGCAGTTCTGAGACCATTTTGAGAAACCATTGTGGTATTGTTTTGTTAGGGTTTAGGGTTTAGGGTTTAGGGTTTAGGGTTTAGGGTTGAGGGTTGAGGGTTGAGGGTTGAGGGTTTAGGGTTGAGGGTTTAGGGTTGAGGGTTTAGGGTTTAGGGTTTTTTGGTTTAGGGTTGAGGCTTTATAGGCTTTATAGGGTTTAGGGTTTAGGGTTTAGGGTTTAGGGTTTAGGGTTTAGGGTTTAGGGACCGTCATCATTGGCATCCTTGGCCCTGATCCTGCATGGCACCCGTCCCTTACCGGCCATTTGTAGCAACTGCGCATGCGACCCTAAAGCCTCAAGCCTAAACCCTAAACCTTGAACCCTAAACCCTAAACCCTAAACCCTAAACCCTAAACCCTAAACCCTAAACCCTAAGCCCTAAGCCCTAAACCCAAAACCCTAAACCCTAAACAACAAACCCTCCCTCCTTTCTTTCTACCCTGGCTCACATCTCCTTCGCGGCCCGAGAGTCTAGACCCCAAACCTTAAACCCTGAACCCCGAACAATCTTGCTTGGGGGTTGGTCGGCGTCGGGGTCGTAGGACTGCAGGGCTTGGGTTCAGGGTTCAGGGTTCAGGGTTTAGGGTGTAGGGTTTAGGGTTTAGGGCTTAGGGTTTAGGGTTTAGAGCTTTCCCCCTCCGCCACGGTCGTTCGTTTTTGGCTTAGGGGTTTTTCGTCGCTCAGAAGCCCGCAAGAATCCTGAGCTCTAACACCTGGACGATGCTCCAGGCCCTGAAGCCCCGAAACCCTTTCCAAACTCGAAACCCTACATAGACCCAAAGCCCA